GAATTTGATTCCCAGCACCTACATGGAGGCTAATCACCTTCCCTATCTCTAGTTCCAGGGGAATCCAACCTCCTCCTCTGACCTTCTCAGGCATAGCACAGTATGGGTGCACTTACACACATGAAGGCAATACACTCATATACATAAAAAAAAAAAAACCTACCACTTAGCCAATGTTGGGAAAGCATCCAGGAAGAATAGTCATAGTTGTTTGAAAGGCTGTTAATATGTGCTATACTTTCCCAACAATGCATTTGGATGAGGCCAACTTTTCTTCATAACTTAGAGTCAATAATTATAGCGCAAAAGATTGGATGTGTACATGAGGTCAAGGTAAGAAGATTTGCAAGAATATAAAGTGGTGTCAATCTACTGACTATATCTTGTCATCTTTTGGAAATGAGTGATTTCTCATAGCAAGGTTATATGACTATAAATGGGCTTATTACTGTTGCTTTGAAATGAATTTGTAAGTAAAGATTTTTAAACTTCTTTTATTTCTAATACAAATAAATATCCAGAGATAAAATTCACATCATTAAAGCTCTTTAGGAGGTTGAATAGTTTCTGAGTGTGAAAAATCAGAAACTCTAAGATTTAAAGAGTTTGAGATGGCCACCGTAGAACAGTTTTCAGACCAGAGCTACAAAGAGACAGCACAGTTGAGCTGCAGGATTCCACACTGGAGAAAACTGGCAGGTAGAGGACCATAAAATTTGACTCTGTGCCTAGTGGGAACTGGACATCAACATGGTAGTATGTTTGCTATAATGGAGATGGCAGACCCTTGCAGCTGGCCTATTCACATTTTTGTTTTGCCTAAGGGTACATCTGGTAAGCTTGGTGTATTGTCTCAGTGTGTTGGACCTGCCTCTAGGCAATTTTGTCTGGTGTCCTATTGCCTCATCACATGAAATGTTTAGTGTCCCTAATGAAAACCAAAATGAAGATGGCCAGCATGTCCCCTCATTCTTAGCTAGCTTTCGGCTTATACAACTGCAAGCTCCCAAAAGGCTTGTACACAGGACCTGCTAAGCCTATACCAACTGTTTATTGTCATCATCCAAGACATAAAGCCCAAATTGTCCGATGAAAACCCTGGTCCCTAAGCACTGGGCTTTACCCACATAAAGCCCCAAATGGTCTGATGAAATCTTCATCCCTAAGCACTGGGCTTTACCCCAAGTGGGTATGTCAGGAGTTCCTTTTGCTTGTTGACCTGAGGCCAAACCAAGAGATAAAGGAAACATATTGTGATGGGTATTTTTCAATGTCAAGATGTCTCAACCTACACTCACCTAGGAAGAGAGCCTCAGTGAAGAATTATCTAGATCAGCTTGGCCTGTAGACATGTCTGTGGAAGATTATCTTGTTAACTGACCCAGTCCACTGTGGGTGGCGCCATTCCTTAGGCTGAATCCTGGGCTATATTAAAGAAAGCTAGCTAACAGCATGCATGTATTTTGTTTCTCTCTGCTCTTGAATGTGGATGTCATATGACTTTGATGTTCTCAAAATGATGGAGTATAACTTAGCATTCTGAGCCAAATAAACCCTTTCTGCTTCTGTGCTGCTTTTTGTCAGAATATTTTATCATAGCACCAGATATGAAATTAGGACACATATTAAAGATCAGTTATAACTTGATGGTAGTAGTGGCCTAGAGGCCTCTGTTGAAGATCAATAGAAAGAACAAATGTGATCAGCTAGTGTTGGCTGTTTGCCAAGGCTTTTCAACATAGGCAGTACAGAGGGTCATTTACCTCTAGCCTGGGTTTCCTTTCTTTGAACTCAAGGACATGAACTTAACATCTTAAACTGAGACGAGAGGTATTTAAAAACTAATACTGTGAAAAAGAGAATAAATTGAAAGTAAAAAATCTACCCTCTATTGCCCAGCCTTAACTGCTCACTCTTAGGCCCTGGAGAGATAATGGGGAGGCTGAGCCACAGAGAAGTCTCAAGAGTTTTTATCCTAAAATACCTGCTACATAAACAAAGAATTTTCAACCTCTTAATTCCTCACTGGCTGAGTTTTGGCCAGCTCAGAATATTTATACTGTGGAAGGGGGAAAATGTGCTAAATCAGTATTCCTGTCCAGAAAAATCATAGAATTGTCAGAAATTACCCCATGGAGCGCTAGCTGAAGGCCCAGGATTTGGGGTTGACTAATCTCAAAACTTGAGAGATGATAAGAAACACACACAAAAAAAAAACTTCTGTCTAAAGAGACAAGTTTCTTGCTTTGCTCTTTTTATGGGAAAAAAAAACACAAAGCCTCCCAAATGGGAAGAAGAACCCTAAATCTCTATATGTATTCAGAAACAAAACAAACCAAAAGCTTTGAGTAGATTCTTTGGGGTCATAGGATTTGAATGACATATTAATCAAACATGGGAAGAGTTACAGTGGGTCCCAGCCTGCAGTGTTGAGCAGTGGTGTTGAAGAATCACAGGCACACATGGATGTGAAGGGTTGAGACAGGATCTTCTGGATGCCAGAGAGGCAGGAAGCCCTTCTCTGATACCCACAGTCCTTCCTAAGTAGCCTTGGAAATCACATGTTGATTCTCTTTGTTGTGGTCACAACTTTAGCCCTGGGTCACCTTACGGCTATCCTCTTGCTGGTACTAAAACATCTCTTCCTGTCAGCCTAGCAGTGCCATTATGTATATACTTGAAAATATCTCTATAGCCAGTGTCCCTTGGACTTTGACCTGGTCTACTACCATCACTTACTGACCATGGACCCTGGGAGAGTCCTTAACGTTTTAGACCTCAGGGTCTCAGTTTGTAAAATGATGGTAGTGAGGAGGTGAAAGGTAGACTTCAGCTTCCATTAGTCTAACTTCAACTTAAAATTCTATGAATACTGGGCTGGGAAGATGGCTTGGACAGTAAGGTACCTGCCATGGAAACATGACAACCTGAGTTTGAATCCTCAGTGACCCACCAAAAGCCAGGGATGGTAGCAGACATCTGTAACCTCAGCACTGGAGGTGGGAACAGAGATAGGAAGCTCCCTGGAGCTCATTGACCAGCCAGCCTAGCTAAACTGATGAGCTTTAGTTCAGTGAGAGACTGTCTCAGAAAATAAGATGGACAGCAACCTCTAACCTGCACCTGCACACACACCACCACCACCACCACCACCACCACCACCAAAAATTCTATGTATCTTCCCTCCCACCTGTTATAACAAAATACCTTTGATTGTTGGAATTTAAAAATCATGTATTTATAAAAAGTGATTAGAGGTTACTTCCTCAAGGTCCATTTCTCCATTAAGAATGCTAGTTTTCTCTTCTTTGTCTTTTTTAACATTTATTGATTTTGTGCATCTCACACAAAATTTCCTAATCATCGTTATACTTCCTCCCTCATTTGCAACCCCCATATGCCCCCAACACACACACGTTTCCATGTATTCTGTCTTATATGTTAAGGCCTATCGAGTCAAGTTTGTGTAACCAGATGTCCCTCAGTGCAAGTTCATTCACTGAGATCTAGTCAGCCTACCTAGAGTCTCTCCCTTAAAGTAGATCAACTCTCCCTCACCCAGCAGTAATCAGCTGCCACTAGTTCTTTGGCTAATATTGGGGCCTGATACCCATTTCCCCAGTTCTATCCTGGGTTTTGTCTGATAGAGTTTGCAGGGGTCTTGTGCATGCTGACACCATTGCTGTAGGTTCATATGAGCAAGGTCCTAGGAGCCTGTAAGACTGTTTCCTTATGGTCATGTACCTTCTTCCCTGGCTTAAGAGGAGGTACAATCTTTCTACCCCCTCTTCTACAATGGTCCCTGAGCTCTGGGTAGGTGAAGTTCAATATAGGAGTCCTGTCTAGGGACCCACAATCTGCAGTCTCCAGTCTCTTATTCTCTACGCTTTGGCCAGGTATGGCCCTTTGTGTTCATCGTCCTCCATTACATGGGGAAGCTTCACTGGTGAGAGTTGAGAGATGCATTAATGTTCTTTCTACCCCCATTCCACTATGTTCTTTCTTGGATGTAGAAGTTCCATTGTAGATGTGTCACTTAGGGTTGGGCATGACAGACACTTATTCTTTGTGTATGACCAGTTGTGGAAGTCTGTAATAGTCTCTGTCTGTTGCAAAAGAATCATCTTTGATGAATGTTGACTGGCATACTTGTACATAGCCAAATACACAGGACTGGAGAGGTCACAGATCTTAGTACCCTAAGTCTGTCACATCCCTAAACAAATGTAATTTCTTACTATATACTAAATATGGGTCCATATATATATGTATATCATTAAAAGACAGGGTCTCCCTGAAGCCTGGACTCACTATGAAGACCAGGCTGCTCTCCATCTCACTGAGATCTGCCTACCTCTGCCTCTGAGTTAAAGGAAGTATATGCCTAAGGACTTTTTAAAAAAGGACTCCATAGATAGTGTTATACATTCATACACACACACACACACACACACACACACACACTTCTCTGATTTTTTTCTTGTCTTCCTCTAGTCTTTCAGTTCATCTCTTATTTGTGTCTGTATCATGTTAAATTGCTAGGTCACTGAAGATCAGAGCAAAATGACTCTCATCCTGGAACCTTCCTAAGGCCTAGAGAAGGGCCATGCCTATACCAAGAGAGCATGTAATAGGTATTTTTTAGTTGAATTGTAATTGTGTATTGAATCAGAATTTTTAAATTACTGCTTTGTATTATGGTAGGCTTGGCCGTGTTGTAAAAATAATTGTGAAATCTTAGTGGTTTAATGCAATAGAGCTTGTTCTTTTTTTCTTCGCCAAGACAAAGTTGGCTGTAGGCTGGAGTAGGAGAGGGGAGAACATTGTTTCTACTGCACAGACCTACTCAGGGACCCCAGCAAGGAGATTCCTGTGTCTGACAATGGAACCATCTATTTTATGTTTCCGTTCTGAGCAGCCTCCCTAGGGTTACTTGCTTTTGCCAGGAAATCATACAAGACCCCTGACCAATGGATTTCCTTCTTGTTTGTTTCCATCAGGAAAAATTTGAGGGACTATTCCGGACTTATGACGAGTGTGTGACGTTCCAGCTATTTAAGAGCTTCCGACGTGTCCGAATAAACTTCAGCAATTCGAAATCAGCAGCCCGAGCCAGGATAGAGCTTCATGAAACCCAGTTCAGAGGGAAAAAATTAAAACTCTACTTTGCACAGGTAATTCTTCACA